ACACACACACACACACACACACACACACACACACACACACACACACACAGAGTCATGTGATAATAATGTGGACTTTTGGAGCTCATTTTAGTAATGTTAAATGATTGACATGGTGATTTTCCACAATTGCATCTCTGCAGTTTTAAGCTTTACTAGCAGAGGTCATTCAAGTATTCGGCATTCTTATAATATACCAGTGGATTCAGAGCCTCGGGGACCCTAATTTGGTTGAGAGGACCCTAGCAATCCATGAGGAGCCTAGAAAAGATCACTGGCAGGGAAGGTTCCCTTGATAATGCATCTAATAGCATCTGGCTTAGGAAATGGTCCAGAGAACTAGCATCACTGAAATCACATAGGAGCACGAGGAATACAGACTTCGGGGCCCTTCCTGATGAGCCACAGTAACAACACTGGGGCTCACAGACATCCAAGTCTGAGAAGCAGTGCTGTAACATAACAGCCTGGGGGAAGCAGAAATGGGCTCACAGACTGTGCAGCCCTGAGCTGCCTGCTCTGAAACTTGAGGTGCACAGTGTTCCCAAGAGTATATTGTAGACTGTGCTTTAGATTTTAGTTCTAGTTCTGTGTGGTACTCTCAGACATAATTAACAATACAGTCCATCAAAACATGAAGATCTGCGTGGTTTAGTGACATAGACAAAGCCCATACACACCAACTATGAAGCTCTCCTTTCGATGTGCACCTGGTATGTGAAACATGAATGCATGGCTTCGGATAGTCTATGGTTGAATATATGATCACATCAAATTAATTTAGAATAGCTACCTGCCCCTGCTTGGTGCTTTATATTATCACCAGGTAAAGATATAAAAAGTTTAATTTAAAATTTCTTTTCTTTTTCTTTCCTTTTTTTTTTTTTCTTTTTGTTTGTTTGCTCATTTTACAAAAGCTTAAAATTTTGTTGGCTCCAGACTGAAACATGTTTTGGGTTGAATGATCACATTTTGGGTCCACTGTCTTCAATTGTGCTTTGATAGTCTAATATAAAACTTTGGGCAACTTGAATGAAATGGTGATAAAGATGATAGACTTGAACTTTGGTTTGAGTCACAGATATAGACAAAAAAGTTAAGGGTGTACCACTGAGCAACCTATATGTTGGGCTTTTATTTTCCAACTGATAATAGTGTTTCAGGGTCCTTCCGGTATGTTCCTCAGAGGATGATGGGTGCCTAAGACTTCAGGTTCTTAAATCCTGGTCCCTGACCAAAAAGGTCCACATCATGTGGGAACACAGAAGAAGCACAAATCTGTTACCCAGTCTGTACCCATTGATGAAGAAACTGGGCTGCTGGGTCTAGAAAAAAATTTTTTTTTGTCAAGAACTGGAATAGGTTCTAATATAAAATAAATGCTTGAACTACCTTGGATTTGACCCCCAGTGCTGGAAAAATGGTCAGTTGCATAGCTTAGGAAATTGCACACTGTACAAACTCAAAGTAACTAGAGCTCTGGGTGTGGAAATAAATTCACCCTAGCCATAACAATTTTGTTCCAAATTATGGTCCATGTATCCATTAGCAATTAAATATTTTGTTGAGATTAAATAATTATCATTAGAACAAGCACATATTTAATTTCATAGAGCAATATGTGGATTTAAAGTTTTAAGGTGGGATTTTGACACAACGGGAAAAACACCAGCCTTAGAATTTAGATATATGAGTCATAGTTGTAATCACAACATGAGCTGTGCGCCTCGCCTTGGATAAGCAATTGAGTGCTATGCAACCATTTCTCCCAGCTGTAAAATGGAGAGGCACCTTAGCTCATTAACTCAGTTTCAGACATATACAGCAAAGCAATTGTGCACAATGATTAAAATCACAGAGCCCTCTCCTAGCGCTGGAGCTGTGTCCTGCTATGTGCCATTGCACACTTCAATGTCGCTGACAACCATTCAGAATGCTGGGCCTGTATTTCAAGTTGAGATGTGCTTGTCACTTCAAAATCATCACAGACCTCGGAACAAATGCCCGAGGGGTGACTTTTGAGAAGTTATGACTTCAAAATGTTCCAGCAGCTCTTATCTCTTGCCTTTATATTTATTATATAAGGCTGTCCCAGCAGAAGGAAGATAGGTGGCAGCCAGGTGCCCTGAATGAGGTATGATAGAAGTACTTTTCTGGCAAGTTTTTCTGCAAAGACTTTTAGTTAAAAAAAAAAAAAAAGCTACAGAAAGTTTTTATTTTTATGTTAAGAACACAGGATTTCAAGAACAATTTTGAAAATGGGACAGCTAATTTGCATTTTATCTTCTAGGCAATTCACTACTTATTTTTAAGGTATTTATTTGCAATAGCTAAAATTACATTTGAATCAATTATATGAGACAGCTATGATTTTTTTTCTTATGCAGAAAGGCTTAATAATTTCAATTCAGGATGAATACCGAACGACATCATTATTGAAACATCCCATGTCAACTGAGTCATGCACTAAGCGGAACTGCATGCCAGGGATTCATATCTTGGTTATTTTATTTGACTTACCCCCAGGAAAGTATCCACTATAAACACCGCCAATGGGTCTAGAACTGTCCATAGTCCCATCGTGATGATTAGCTTTGACAAGGCATCCGGGCAGGAGGAAAACAGTTGCTGACAGCCCCATCTGATCAGAAGCAAGGGGAATGTGATTGTGTTCAGTGCTAAAGGCCCCAATACAATCATAGCCATCTCTTCTCCGACATGAAGGGAAGAAACAGGGTAGCAGAGCTCAACAGTGTAGGAATAAAACTCAAATCTGTGACGGGGGGAAACACAGGCACCCAGCAAGAATTAAACAAAAGCCAAGTATGCAGAGCAATCAACAGCCCCATGTGCTCTGCTTTCTTTATTAAAAAACCAAAACAAAAAACAAACAAAAAAGTCTTGACCCAAAATGGCACCTAAAATTGAATGTTAGAGTCTTCAACCTTCCCTGATCACTAGGACGGTTTGCAATCGTGGAAAGGCAAGTTACCTCATTCATTGGCCCTCAGTAGAGCCGTCCGTAAAATCAGGATGTAGTATACAGAACATATTAGTGGCCAATTTTAGATGTAAAATACAGTAGTAAACTTTCTAATGAGTCAATGCCTTATAAAACAGAGAGACAGACATAAAGCTAATTAATTATCCTTCAGAATTTGGATGAAACTCATTGATTTTGCTTACAGCTTTTCTGGAGTGACTTCCAACTTCCAACATCAAAAGCTCAGTCATCACTAAGAAGTGAAATTTCATAGCAAGGGGCCTAACAGCATAAGCCACAGCCCTGTGGGTTAAATCCAGTTCAAGCCAGTAACTGAGGCTGCCTCCAGTGTGCCTTTGACATCCTCAATCCCCTACCACGTGAGAACTGTGTTTATTTGACGATTTCTGTCCAATTCGACTTGGGTGAAACTGTCAGACAGAGTTCACCCTTCTTGTGAATCATGAAAAATCTATCAGGGGGAGGTCTTCATTTTATCCATTCCTTGACTACTTCTTCAAAAAGGTTTGATGCTTTGTTCTTGTGTTGTCACGGATATGAAGCAGAATGAACTTGATTTCTTAGTATAGGACCTGACACAGTGAGAACTCATTCATTATTGGTGCTGTTCCTGCTGTAGCTCACAGCTGAGATGTGGCTTGGAGCCCCTGTGTGTGTCAAGACTATGGCTTTATACAGTAGACCCCAAAGTGCTACAATCTTCCAAGTCCCTCGTTTAAGAAATTGACTAAAATAAGCTGTCACAATATTTTTTTGCTGTCCTTTTCTAATGAAGAGTAAAAGTGTGACTAATAAACAGTAATTAGCTCAAGCTAGAACATTTGGATTTTCTGCTGTGAGAACTATATAAGAAATATATATATATATATATATATATATATATATATATATATGCGACATATAGACAGAGATAAAGATAGATGATAAATGATAGGTAGGTAGGTAGGTAGGTAGATAGATAGATAGATAGATAGATAGATAGATAGATAGATAGGCAGAGAAAAGTGCCCACATAAAAATTACTTCATGACTATGTAGTTATTTGACACATATAAATTTTCACATCAACAACATATCTAAATCTTAGTTACTTCATTTCATAAAAGAATCAAAAACTCTGTAGGCATACATACAATACACATTTCACAAAATCTTGAAATTCTTCATAATCATCTTAATGTAAAATACACACTTGTATGTTTCTACTGTGCCATCTATATTTGAGAAAATGAATATTACTTGTGTTGTTATCTATGTCTATCTAGAGTGTCTATGGAATCATCTTTACAGAGAGACAACCTTTAAAATATCATTTTCTACGCACAGGATAATGGCCTAGGAAGCTGTCTGGGCTTGAATTTGGTAATTGTTTGAATTCAATCATTTTGTAGAAGAGGCAATCTTTGCTTTTCTGAGTATGGTAATAAATCAGACTCACATTACTTCTAAAATAGCTTCAGCCTATGTCACTCTTATAAAATCAAAATAGAACAAAAACATCATTGCCAAATTCCTTCTTGGGTCTTGCTCAGATATCAAGACATATTTGAATGTGCTGAATTTTAAATAAATATTGATGCACAAGGTAAGTAGTGGTATCTCAGAGCCAACCACAGCCTGAGACCGTAACTATAATAAAAAGCCCGTGCTCTCAGGTAAAGACTTTATTTTGTCTCTTCAAATCAGGCCTCCATTTTAGGTCTTCCAGTAAGTGAACAGGGAAAGGTATCTTGTACTTTGCATTACCCTAGCAAGATGAAAATACATCCCCTTGGCTTGCAGAGGAAAGCACTTACTTTGTAACTGGAGTTGAAAGGGCCCAGAGGAAAAGCCACTGTCCCAGGTAATGCAGGTAGAGCCTCAGGAACCATAGAGAAGCCATCAGCAGAAGGATGTACCAGAAGCCCTGGCTTTGCCATCGAGCTAATTCAAGTTCTGAAAACAAGGACACCAATGCAAAGTGGAGGTGCTTGGATAACTCTCCAGCTACACAGTGGTCTGCAACTGAAGGGCAGCTGCAAGCAAAGAATCATGAGTTAAATTCAGGATCTACAGTATGCCCGAAAAAGAAGAGAATTCAATGAAATTATTTCTAGACATTCAGAAGTCAAACACATTTATGTTCCTTTTTGTTGCAATGGATGATGGAAGCCAACAATGGAAAATGTGAATTAGGTTAAGGTAAGTGAAAATCATGTGACATGAATCCATCCTCCACTCAAGACCTCTTATAAACAGCAAGAACAACATAGAAAATCTCAGGCATTTGGCATTAGAATTGGTGAGTACTAACTGTAACAACAACAAACAAACAAACAAATCTAATAAATTACTATAGAAAACACTACGGTGTACATTATGCCACAATTAAAAATTGTAGCTACCATCTGGTCCACCAATCACAATTGTAAATCCATACTCAGAGGACTGAAGGAAGAACAGAGAAGAAAGAGCCGCATCCCTGCTCAAGACAGCAGTGTCTTCAGCAGCCAGTTCATGAAAGTAACACACATGCCTCCTGAGGAATGAAGGGGACAGATTTGATAATAAAGTATTGTCCAACATTAAGTAAATAAGGGAGCTCTGACACACGCTGTAATGTGAATGAGCCTCGAGAACAGCTCCAGTGAAATAATCCAGTCACAAAAGGACAGAAACCGCAGGATTCTGCTACATGACCTTGTTGGTGCAGAAAGACAATCCTTTCTTGCTGTCACAGTTCAGACTTTGCAAGTTGAAGCATTCCTGAGATCAGATGCCCAGCAACATAAACACACACGTGACCGAGCTACATGCTTGTGTCATGAAATACAGAAAGAAATTGTTATACATGGTAAAATTAACTTTTCTGGAACAGGTTGAAAATCTAAAGTACATTCCTTGTTATCTTGCCTGCTCACAATATCACATATACTCAAGAGCAGTTTGGCTTATTGGGACCAGTGAGATGGTCTGGCAGGTGACGGAGTTTGGTAGCAAGGCTGACAACCTGAACTTTGTCCCTGAGACACACAAGGGAGAACAAAAGAATCAGCTTCCAAAATTGGTCCTTTGACCACCACCATACAAACACGTACTCTCTCTCTCTCTCTCTCTCTCACACACACACACACACACATGAATCAAAAGTAATAAAAATTGTATTTATCCATTGTTAAAAATGAATTATTTCACATTTGAAACCAAATGGAGGTATGTATATACCACTGAAATACACAAATAAGAATTCAGAATAAAGAATTTACTATTTAACAAAACAGTGTAGACTCCATGGGCACATTCAAAATATTTTACTTTTATATTTATGGTTGTGAGCCTAGCTTTTAATGACTGAGACATCTTTTCAGCCCAATGGGTCCTGCAGAGAGTGATGCATCAACCAAGGACCAAAAGCGAAAAGGGCATAGACCCTCTGCTCAGATGTAGTCCGTAGGCAGTTCAGTCTCCATGTGGATTCCCTAGTAAGGGGAGCAGGGTCTGTCTCTGACTTAGACTCTTATACCTGCTCTTTGATCACTTCCCCCTGGTGGGTGGCCTTGCCAGAACCCAGAGGAAGAAGATACAACCATTTCTAATGAGAGTTGATAGACTGAGGTCAGATGGTAAGGGAAGAGGGTTTCCCACTGTGAGGACCGGGGGTGGGGGTGGAAGAGGGAAGGAAGGTCGAACCTGAAGGAGATGAGGAAGGGGGTTAAAATTGGGATGTAAAGTGAATAAATTATAAAAAGATTTTTTTTAATTACAAAATAATAAAATTAAAAAATAACTTAAGAAATCTCACCTCTGTCTGAAGACTGTCATATGCAAAATGCCAAGCATGCCATGGGAAGAAAAGGTAAGTAATGGAGACATGAGCCTGACAACAGAATAGCAACAGATAGGGGTTTGGCTGTATTTTCTTGGTGTTTACAGACTTACAAGGCAGCAAAGCTGACACTGACCTTTCCCTGAGTGTTCTGCATGGAGAAGCAGACTGTCACTCACTTTGTACTGACCATGCCTTTCAATCACACAAATGAAGAACAGTGAAATGCACAGGCACACACACACACACACACACACACACACACACACACACACACACACAC